AGGAGAGGCAGGGAGAGCTGTGGGCACCCCGAGGGGCAGGAGCAGCGCTGGGAGCAGCCCCGGGTGTGGGCAGCTCCGGATCGCTCTGAGGGGCAGGAGCAGCCCCGGCCTGGTGTGGGCAGCTCCGGATCGCTCTGAGGGGCAGGAGCAGCGCTGAGCCCGGTGTGTGGAGCTCGGGATTGCTGTGAGGGGCAGGAGCAGCCCCGGGGCCGGCGTGTGGAGCTCGGGATTGCTCTGAGGGGCCGGAGCAGCCCCGGGGCCGGTGTGTGGAGCTCGGGATTGCTCTGAGGGGCAGGAGCAGCCCTGGCCCGGTGTGGGCAGCTCCGGATTGCTCTGAGGGGCAGGAGCAGCCCTGGCCCGGTGTGGGCAGCTCCATACGGCTCTGAGGGGCAGGAGCAGCACTGGGAGCAGCCCCGGGTGTGTGGAGCTCGGGATCACTCTGAGGGGCAGGAGCAGCCCCGGCCTGGTGTGGGCAGCTCCGGATCGCTCTGAGGGGCAGAAGCAGCCCCAGGAGCAGCCCTGGCCCGGTGCCCACAGCTCCGGATCACCCTGAGGTCCCACAGCAGCAGGGATGAGGATGAGGACGAGGATGAGGATGAGGAGCCAACCTGCCCCCTCAGAGCAGGTGGGACCCCACTCCCGCTTTTCCCTCGGTGTTTCGAAGGAACAGCTCGAGCTCGCTGTTCCCTCCTGTGAGGGTGGATCACGGTGCTCACAGTGACCCCCGGGCTGGCACCCGGAGGGGACAGCGGGCCCTGGCCAGGGCAGGGCTGTGTCCCTGCCCTCCCCGGGTGGCCCTGCTGACCCCAGCCCGTCCAGAGGCTCGGGAAGCTCAGGGCTGGCCACGACTGCCCTCAGGAAAACCACGGGAGCCTTTCCTGGCCGGCCTCGAGCACTCTGCTTCCTTCCTCGAGTTTTCAGGAGAAACCTCGGAGGTTCTGGAGAGCCTGGGGGACAGTCCGGGGGCACAGCTTGGGGCACAGCCTGGGGGACAGCTTGGGGCACAGCTTGGGGGACAGTCTGGGGGACAGTCTGGGGGACAGCCCGGGGGCACAGTCTGGGGGCACAGCCTGGGGGCCAGTCCGGGGGCACAGCTTGGGGGACAGTCTGGGGGACAGCCCGGGGCACAGCCCTGTGCTTCCTTCCCCCGGGCTGGAAATGGCAGTCGGGGCCGCCTTCCCTCCCTGCTGCTCCCCCAGAGCGATTCGGGGCTGCCACTGGGGGTTTGTGTGTTCTCCTGGAAGCCAGAGGCTGCTCCAGCCCCGATCTGCAGCCATCCATAATAATCCCGTTTATTGTGGCTCTCCCTGCTCTCCCCCTGCCCGCGCTCGGGGCTGGGCCGGTGCCTGGGGCGCCGTTTGTGTTTGAATGGGTTTGTTTGTGCTCCTGGCACGGCTCCCGGGCTGGCAGAGCCGCCCGGAGGAGCCGGGCTGGCCGGGCCAGGAGTTAACCCCACGGAGCCGGGCTGGCCGGGCCAGGAGTTAACCCCACGGAGCCGGGCTGGCCCGGCCAGGAGTTAACCCCGCAGAGCCGGGCTGGCCCGGCCAGGAGTTAACCCCGCAGAGCCGGGCTGGCCCGGCCAGGAGTTAACCCCGCAGAGCCGGGCTGGCCCGGCCAGGAGTTAACCCCGCAGAGCCGGGCTGGCCCGGCCAGGAGTTAACCCCGCAGAGCCGGGCTGGCCTGGCCAGGAGTTAACCCCGCAGAGCCGGGCTGGCCCGGCCAGGAGTTAACCCCGCAGAGCCGGGCTGGCCTGGCCAGGAGTTAACCCCGCAGAGCCGGGCTGGCCTGGCCAGGAGTTAACCCCGCAGAGCTGGGCTGGCCCGGCCAGGAGTTAACCCCGCAGAGCTGGGCTGGCCTGGCCAGGAGTTAACCCCGCAGAGCTGGGCTGGCCTGGCACTCGCTGGGCTATGAGAATCAACCCCATAACCCCATAATGGGGTTTTATCCCCAGACTGCCCCAAAAAGCACGCAGCCGTCGTGCCAGCTCATTCTGTCCCCCTCCGTCGCTGCTCTCCTGCTCCCCACACCAGCTCAGGGCAGGGCTCAGCCCAGGCAGGAGTTGCTGAGGATGGGCTGAGGGAGCCTTGCCTGGCTGCTGCCCAGCCCCAGGAGTTGCTGAGGATGGGCTGAGGGAGCCACGCCTGGCTTCTGCCCAGCCCCAGGAGTTGCTGAGGATGGGCTGAGGCAGCCACGGGAGCCTTGCCAGCTCCAGGAGCTCCTGGCCTGAGCCTCAGTGGGCCCTGCCTGCCCCCTGCCCCTCTCTCGTGCAGCTCCTCCTGGCCCAGCCTGTGCCAGCAGCCTGGCTTTGTGCCTCTTCAGGCCGAGCCTATTTTTAGGAGGTGGCTCTCGCAGCCCTGCTGGTTTTGGTTCATGGTTGGTGCAGCCCTCAGCTTTAATTTTGTGGTCACATTAATGTGAGGTTTATCCTCATGGTTTACGGGCATAACCCAGAATTGTGGTGGTGGTGGTAGGGGAGAGAGTGCTGGAGAGGGATCCCTGCTGGAAAAGGGATCTGTCCTGGAGAGATCCCGGCTGGAAAAGGGATCCCTGCTGGAAAAGGGATCTGTCCTGGAGAGAAATCCCAGCTGGCACAGAACAGTGTCTGCATCCCCCTGAGTGTTTTTCAGGGCCTGCAGCATTCCCAGTGCAATCCCAGTGCAATCCCAGTGCATTCCTGCCCACCCTGCAGTGCCCAGATGCAGGCGTTGGGCACCAGCATTCCTGCAGCAGAGTCACGTGCCAGGACAACAATAGAACCTTATTTTTAGAGCATTTCCCAGCTCTGTGCCCAGCATTCAGCAGGGCTGAGGTCCAGGGAGTTCCTTCCGTCTTCACGCTGAGGTTTAAGGAGAGGTGATTTTTTGTTGCTTTTGGTGTTGTTCATGGGGATTTGAGGTGCTGCAGAAAGCCAGGTGGTCTGCAGCTGGCCACAGCAGTGTGGGAGACCCCAGGGACGAGGGGCCAGTGGCTCCTGACTTTGGCAGGACACAAGAGACTCAGGTTGCCAAATCCTGGCTCCCAGCCTCTGCTCCTTCTCCAGCGCAGCTGGAGCAGCCCCGTGGGAGCTTCCCCATCCCAGGACGTGTGAGGGCAGGCCGGCTGGGATGGCTGCGGCGACAGAGCCAAGGCCAGCCCAGCTGTGGGTGTGACCCTGTGCCACCGGGCTGTCCCCACCCGCACCCCTGTCCTGTGCAGGGCCGGGGGCATGGGGAGCACCTTGGGCCTCGGGCAGGTTCATTTCCAGCCAGCACGGGTGATCCCAGCCTGGTTCGGGTGAAAATGCCCCTGGAGCTCCCCCAGAGCAGCCTGTGTGTGCCTTTCCCCTTCCCAAAGCACTCCAAAGCCATCCCAGCAGTGCCATGTCATGCCAGAGAGGGACAGAGCGAGCTCCCGGCACCCAGTCTGCTCCTGCCTCGGCCTCTTCCCGAGGGCAGGATTTATGGGGGAATTTATCCTGGCTAAACGTGACATAAATCTGAGCACACGTGTGTGCGCAGCCCAGAGCGGCTGCTCCTGCTTTGGGAACGGGGGGATCCTGCCTTGGGAATGGGGGGATCCTGTTTTGGGAATGGGGGGATCCTCCTGACACAGCCAGGAGCAGCTGGATCCATCCAGAGTTCCGGTGTCACCTCAAGGCCTGGGTGGGATTTGTCCTTGGGCTGCTGCTGTCCCCTGCTCTGCCCCCCCGTGTCACTTTTGGGATTTCTGGGGCCGTTCCTGATGTTTGGGTGCCTTTGTTCCCCCTGGGCCGGGCAGGGCTTTGGCTGCCAGCCCGTGCCACGGGTGACAGGGACATTTATCCCCATTCCTGTCGGTGGCAGGGACATTTATCCCCATTCCTGTCGGTGGCAGGGACATTTATCCCCACTCCTGTTTGCACAGCCCCCGGAGTCTGGCTCCATAAACGCAGCCCCACATCCAGCCCAGCTGCTCTGTGGGATCACAGCTCCTCTCTCCTCAGCCTTTGGGCCTCGCTGCCGTGGCTGGGGGAGGAATTCACCTCCTGCCGCAGAAAACCGCCGGTTTTGTTCGTTTGCAGCAGCTCATTGATTCCTTTCCCGGGGAGCAGGAGCTCCTGCCGCTCTCCCTGCCACATTCTTGGAGCTCTTTCTCACACAGCTCCTAAAAATACCAGAGAGCAGCCCTCGGGGCTGCGAGTGCAAGCCCTTGTCCCCCAGCGCCGTCCCTCGCTGGCATTCCAGCCCATCCCAGCCTGGAGGTGCTGGGAGCCCCCCGGAGCAGCCCCCCGAGGAGACAGCGTTGGCTTTATCACAGCTTTGTGAAATCCTGCTGTAAAAATATCAGTGGGTGGAGGAGGGAACCGTTGTTTCTCGAGTTTGAGACTGGGGGGAGGGTTTTACTTTATTTACTCTTATTTTTTATTAATGAGAACAGCTTCACTTGTAGCATAATAGGAGTGAGTGTTTTGTTATCCTTGGCTGTAATCCGTGATAAACTGCCCCTGCCATCAGCCTTGTAGTTTACCCACTGGGGAGCCCGATTATTGCCTTGTAAAACGGAGCACCACTCCTATAATCCCTTAATTAATTAAATGACAAATTTTAGTTCTCTCCCATTGAAAATATAACCGGTGCAGAGAGAGGCCGTGGATTTATTTGATGGCTGCTCGCTCGCACTTTGTTTTCTGCGCATTGCCACTGTCCCTGCTGATTTGTTTGCGTGTGGGGGGATTCCAGGGCTGGCTCTGAGGATCCCCGGGGGTGCCAGGATGTTCCCTGACCCCTGAACACCGAGGGGGGCCGTGCTGGGGGGGCTGGGCATTGTCCCCACCTCAGGAGGTGACACCGAGCTGCAGGACACCTCTGGGTGATGCTCCCACACCTTTCCAGGTTCCCTTCCAGCTGGAAAAACCCACCCGGTCCCTCCCAAACCCTAAACCCTGGCCGGGATAATTCCGTCCCAGCAGAGGGGCAGCTCCCGCGGGTGCTTTGGGGGTTTTTGGGGCTGTTTAAGGATTTCTCTCCCTTCTCTCTCCCCAGGCTGCTGCAGGATGGGTGACGACAGGCCCTTCGTGTGCGGCGCCCCGGGCTGCGGACAGGTACCAGCTGCTTGGCTTGGGGGTTTTGGCTGCTTTGGCTTTGGGGTTTTGGCTGCTTGGCTTGGGGGTTTTGGCTGCTTGGCTTGGGGGTTTTGGCTGCTTTGGCTTTGGGGTCACAGTCTAATGGGATTTTGGCTGCTTTGGCTTTAGGGTTTAATGGGATTTTGGTTTAACGGGACCGGGGCTGGTTCCTGTGCCACGGCCCCCCCTGGGCCGTGCCCCCCGTTCTGGATAAAGCCACGGCCCTCCAGAGCCAGGAGGCTCCCAGTTCCTCCTCTGGAGCAGCTGGGAATGTGACAGGTGACGGGAGATGGTCCCCAAAATGCTATTTTGGGATGGGCTTCCTCCCGTGCCCTGCGGAATTCCTCCTCCCTGAGCTGCTGCGGAGCTTCCTGGGATGAGAGAGGTGGGGGAGGCTCATCCTCCTCCAGCCTCACCTTCCCATCCCCTTTTCCTTCTGTTTCCAGGGAAAATGCTGCTCCCATCCCCTTTTCCTTCCCTTTCCAGGGAAAATGGTGCCATCCCAAAGATGAGCTCGGGGGCTCCCTGTGCTTGGTACTGGGAGGAACTGGGGACGATGGAATTGCTGCTGGGGCTGATGTAGTGGGGTCTGCTGGACACTGGGGGATTGTGGAATTCCTGCTGGTTTAGTGGGATCTGCTGGACACTGGGGGATCATGGAACTCCTGCTGATTTAAAAACACATATTTAGGGTTTCCCAGCTTTCTGGTCATTGTGGCACGAGCCTCATGCAGATCCTTCCCTCCCCCCTTGCAGGTGAACTTCCTCCTTTTGCCTTTTCTTTTATTTTCTTTTTTTTTTTTTTTTTTTTTTTTTTTTTTTTTTTTTTTTTTTTTTTTTTTTTTTTTTTTTTTTTTTTTGGGGAGGCTGCTTTTTATCTGAAACTTCTTTGCCTGTGAAATTGTGCAGGCCATTTATAAAATGTATTAGCTGTGTTTGAGCACTTAATGGTGTGAGCCCTTCAGTCACACAGCCCTAAAATCGGCTTCAAACAAGCAATTAAGGCAAACAACAATGTATTTAAATTTAATCTCCCACAATCTCCCACAAATGACATATAAAGGTGGCTGCTTCCTCCTCTGGCTGTTCCAGCCTGCTGCTTATGGGTAATTCCGACAATTCCTCATGTTAATATGGAAATGCTGGAATCCTGGTAATTCCGAGCGGGGTGATTCATGGGGATCCAGCCTGACCTCAGCCTGCTTTTCCCAGAACGTCCTTCAGAGCAGGGCAGGGCTGGGATGGGGATCCAGGGCAGGGATGGGGATCCAGGGCTGGGATGGGGATCCGGGGCTGGGATGGGGTTCCAGGGCTGGGATGGGGATCCAGGGCAGGGATGGGGATCCGGGGCAGGGATGGGGATCCAGGGCAGCGCCCGCAGAGCAGGGACAGTAGGGCTGGGGTGGGGGAATGTCCTGGGGTCACTTCATGATTTGCCCCAGCAGCTGCTTCCTTCCCTCTGTAGCTGACACCAGCCCTATCATTAATGCCCTAAACCCCTTTTCCTCTCCTTTTCTCTTCTTTTTTCCCTCCCTTTCCCCCCCCTTCCCTCCTTTTCCCTCCTTCTCCCTCCTTTTCTTCCCCTTTTCCCGTTTCCACCCAGCAGAAGCTGCAGAGGCAGCGAGGAGGGCGCGGAGCAGCCCCGAGCGCTGTGCCCGGGGGTGCAGCGGGCTGTAAACATGTTTGGGGTTGCCAGGGCTGCAGGGGGGTTATTTTGGGATTCCCCGTGCCCAGCTGCCTCGCGGCGTGCAGCAGATCCTGCCCAGGTCGGGTGTCTGGAGCCTCCCCGCAGGGACAGCTGGAGAATTCCCCTGGGAACTGCCGGGAGCGGGGGGAGCTGGGCAGCCCCTGCCCCAGCGTGGCCCTGGGAGGCACGGGGGGAGCCTGGAGCCGGGATGTCCTGGTGAAATCGAGCTGGGTGCTGCTGATCACCCCCAAGCTCTCAATTCCGGGTGCTGGGTGCTGCTGATCACCCCAAACCTCTCCATTCCTGGTGCTGGGTGCTGCTGATCACCCCAAACCTCTCCATTCCTGGTGCTGCTGATCACCCCAAACCTCTCCATTCCTGGTGCTGCTGATCACCCCCAAGCTCTCCATTCCTGGTGCTGGGTGCTGTTGTCATCCCCAAACCTCTCAATTCCAGCCACTCCGGGGGCTGAGAGCTGGGACTGGGGGTGTTGGGCAGCTTTAGGCAGGGGGACAGCCCCACATGGTTCATTAGGGAATTAAACCTTCAGGTTTGGGGAAATTGGGCAATGAAACCTTCAGGTTTGGGGGAATTGGGAATGAAACCTTCAGGTTTGGGGGAATTGGGAATGAAACCTTCAGGTTTGGGGGAATTTGGGCCCTGCTGTTGGAACAGGGAGCTGTTCCCAAGCTCTGTGCAGTGGGACAGCTCCACCTCATTAATTAGGAAATTAAACCTTCAGCTGGCTCATTAAGGCATCCAGCGCACAGCTCTGGGGCTGGGGGCTTCAGCTGCTGCCCCGGGAGGTTCCCCCGTGTCTGGCTCTGTCTCCCCCCTGGGAAAAGGGCCCCAAAGCCCCTCAGGGACCCCGCAGATGCCACCCTGGGGTGCTCCTGGCTCTCCTGAGCATCCTTGAGGAGGAATCTCCCTGTTAATGAACCTGTTTGGCCACTCCTGCTGCCCAGGGCAGCGGCAGGGCTGTGATACTGAATGTACTGAATGTACTGAATATAGGGAATATAGTGAATATAGGGAATATAGTGAATATACTGAAATATACTGAAATATACTGAACATACTGAATATACTGAACATACTGAATACAGTGAATATCCTGAGCAGGGAGTGCAGCTTCCCCAGCCCTGCCCTCCGCAGCATTTCCCTTTACAGGGCACACAAATCATCCCTCCGGCCCTAATTCCAGAGCTCCAGTTATCCAGGCCATTTCCTCAGACAATCGTTTGCTTTTTAAACCCCCCCTTAATTTCCCAATTTATTCCCCCTAAACCCTTGCTCGGAGGTGCTGCTTTGTGCAGCCTCCAGGAAACGCCGAGCCCAGAACTTTTCACAAGGCCAGAAAATGATTTTTTTTTTTTTTTTCTCTTCTTGCTGGTTTATTGTATCCTCTTATCTTGTCATATAATAGAAATAATGTTTATGGCGTCGAGCCTCAGCATCACTTGGCATTTAACCAAGCTCAAAAGCAGTTTATTGCTGTGTATACTCTGCTGCCATGGCCATTATCCCTTAAATCTCTATTGCCCAGTAATGGATGAGGCCAGGCTGCTCCTGCCACTGGCTGAGCTGGGCTTTGGGGCTGCACGGCCCAAACCGCAGTGGGTTACTCATTTTATGGGGTCTGGGGAGGGGGAGAACGGCCCTGCCCCTTGCCAGGCAGCAGGGAGATCACCCTGGCACTGCTGAGGGCTGGCACCGTGCCCCCCTGGCCTTGGCTGCTCCGGGGTGTCCAGTGTGGGTTCCCAGTGTGGGTGTCCAGTGTGGGTGTCCAGTGTGGGTGTCCAGTGTGGGTTTCCAGTGTGGGTGTCCAGTGTGGGTGTCCAGTGTGGGTGTCCAGTGTGGGTGTCCAGTGTGGGTGTCCAGTGTGGGTGTCCAGTGTGGGTGTCCAGTGTGGGTTCCCAGTGTGGGTGTCCAGTGTGGGGTGTCCAGTGGGGGTGTCCAGTATGGGGTGTCCAGTGTGGGGTTCCCAGTGTGGGTGTCCAGTGTGGGGTGTCCAGTGTGGGTGTCCAGTGTGGGCTCCCAGTGTGGGCTCCCAGTGTGGGGTGTCCAGTGTGGGTGCCCAGTGTGGGGTCCCAGTGTGGGGTTCCCAGTTTGGATTCCCAGTTTGGGGTTCCCAGCTGTGGCCCCTGAGCTGTGCCTGCTCCTGGTCCAGCCTCATCCCACGGCCAGCAAGGGACCAGTTCCCCCAGTACCAGCCTGATCCTGGCCCCGGGAGCAGCTCCTGTGGTGGCAGCTGCAGGAGCTGCAGGGGTGGGAGCTGCAGGAGCTGCAGGAACTGCAGGGATGGGAGCGGCCGGGGGGGGAGCTGCAGGGGTGGGAGCTGCAGGCCGTGCAGGGGTGGGAGCTGCAGGAGCTGCAGGAACTGCAGGGATGGGAGCTGCAGGGGTGGGAGCTGCAGGAGCTGCAGGGGTGGGAGCTGCAGGAGCTGCAGGGGTGGGAGCTGCAGGGGTGGGAGCTGCAGGAGTTGCAGCCTCGCAGGGCCGCGGGGGCAGCGGGGCTGGCTCCAGGAGCTCTGGGGCTCTTGGCAGCAAAAGGGGGAATTGGATTAATTTGGGCCGTAACTCCTGGGCTGTCAGCAGAGCCCAGCCATCTCCCCACCTCCCGCCAAAGGTATTTTTGGAGGTGGGGAGGGGGAAGGCTAATTTTGAATAATAATAAGCTTGAGAAGGCATCTGAAACCAGTAAACGTTTATTTTTTACACTCCTATAACTTAAAAACGGCCAAACCAATTTAAACCAAATTGGATAATAAAAAATATTGCTCCTAGGCTGAGCCCCTGTTTGCCAAGTTCCAGCCTAGAATGAATTTTTATGGCCAAATTATAAACCCCCTAGAAATGAAGGTTTAAAATGGAAATGTTGACAGACCTTTAACTACAAAAGCACCGTAATAGAACTTCTTTTTTTCTAAAATGGCCGGTTTAAAATATAATTAAGACTTAAATATTATTTAATAGCAGCATTTCCTGTAAGTTAAAATCTTTATCATTCCTCTGGCCGGGATTCCTTGGCAGTCCTTGGAAGCGTTCTGTGGCGGGAGCGCGTGCGGGCCACGGCCTCGGCTGTCACCCGGAGCTGGGGACACAGGCTGGGCAGTGTCCTGAGTGCTGGATGGACACGGGCTGGGCAGTGTCCTGAGTGCTGGATGGACACGGGCTGGGCAGTGTCCTGAATTCCAGCTGGACACGGGCTGGGCAGTGTCCTGAGTGCTGGATGGACACGGGCTGGGCAGTGTCCCAAATTCCAGCCGGGAGCCGGGGCCAGCCTCGGTTTC